TTCCCTGTAAGGCTTTACTTGCTTTATGGAAAAAGTAGCTCAATTCTAGCAACATACTGAATGTAGTTACTGAAATTTCCTGCATATCAGTGTGCTGAAATGTCCTTAGTTTGCCCTTGGGAGCAGCTGTACCTTCATGACATCGGAACAGCTTTTTCCTATGGAAATAGCAGGTGGCAGGAAGCAAATCAGACTTTTATTTCCAGAGAAAAAGACATAAAAATTCCAAGAAAAGTGGAGTTGTGAAGTGAGGCTGGGATAGTTTGCAGCTTAAATCTGCAGAGCTGTTCTATCTTTGCCATGAAGGAAGTGAGAGAAGGCATTGCCCCACGTCCTCTGCCTCATCAATTTAATCAGCACACCTCAAATGCAGGAGCCTGCTGGAAGAACTGGCATATAAACATGAATTAGAAGAAAATCTTATCCAGGTTGCTGGGGAAAGCTCTAGAAAGCCCATCCCAGAGCTGCACACTGAATTTCTGGGGAGGAAATCAATTATGAGCACTGAGTACGTGAAATAATCCTCAGCGCCAGTGTCAAACAAACCTGCCCTTGCAGCTTTCCATGCTGTTACTGATTAATCCTTTTATCAGCCCTGTGCCATCCTCAGAGTTATCCTCCAGCTCTGACCATCAGTAGCCACTTCCTTGGAAGCTCCCATGGACTGTTAAGCTGCTGATGGCCCACTGGCTGGTGTCTATTAAGAAGGACACCTTGAACTACAAACCAGAGGCTGGAAAAGTGCTGCTTCAGAGCTCTCACCGTGACTTCCCTGAGAAAAACAAAGTTTTTTAGAGTCATTTCCATGGGGAGGGGGAAGAACAGTCATCTTTTCTTTTGCAGCTGATTCACTGCATGTCCCAACCTGAGATTTTGGGCAGAAATGGGAGAAGGGAAATTGTGGTCCTATTTAAGAGTAGATAAAGCTCTGCTTTTTGCTGCAAACTCTTTTTTTGACAGTCAGGTTCTGCACAGGATGAAGGCTAAATGTTCTACGCACTTGTTCTCATCATGAAGAACTTCTTCAGAGCTCTGGGCAGCTTTTGTAGTTCTTCAGGCTTCAGGTTTTTTAGGCCTTCAACATGACAACACCAAAAGCCCAGATGCTGGTGTTTCTTTCCAGCCTCTCCTACCTTTGGAAACTGGATTTCCTTGAGCTGACATCTTGGAAAGGCTTGCTTTTTGTTCCTTGAATTCTTTTAGGCATTACCTGGCATTAGAAATGCACAGCAACTCCACAGGTCTCAAAATTTATAGCAATGTATTTTGTTCCATTTATGCTGGTTTTCTGCACTGCCACTACTTGCAGGCTGTAATAAATTACCTGAGTTTAATTCACGACATAAAGTTCATTGCACTTCCCCAGAAATAGCATTCTCTGTTTGGGACACTACTGCCAAGACTGCATTCCTAGAGCTGAATTTCTACCCTGTCCAAGACATTTATTCTACCCATATTTCCCATCATACCATTTTCTGCTATTTAGGTCATTTATATTTTCTTGCTCTTGCAGTTCCTTGCCATATGTTCCTCTGTTGCTTTGCAGTTTTGCTCTTACCTTTGTTGTGTAAAGTAATCTTCAGACCTTCAAACTAAAATAGGTGTTTGACCACAGTCTAAGCTGCATTTAATGGAAATCTGTACCAAACCACTCACATTCCTTGGATAGAAGGAAGAACTGCAAGATGCCCAAACCACTACTTAGCCCAGTATTTAGCTGAGAGGGGGGCATGCAGAAAACCAGCTGCTTTTTGCTTCAGATGCCACTTTAAATTAATAATAATGTTGAATTCTATCCTACGTGGATGTTTATGTCTGGTTTGAGTTTGGGTGATCTCATCTCATCACCAGACTTTTACCAGCCCTCTCTTACCAGAGAGAAACACCCCTCACTTCACAGTCTCACCTTATTCATGTCATTGCTTTTTGGCAGTAAGTACCCCTGTGAACAACTGCTTTCAAGGACAAAGCACAGGAAGAGCAACGTTTCATCAAAAAATCTCTGACAAACACCTTGAGAACTCACTACGAATTGCAATTCTTGCATTTGAACCAGACTGAGGCATTAGCTTCATAAAAACAAGCTGACATATCCCACCAGTTTTATGGCTTTGCTGCTCTTTTTTTTTATAATATGTTTTAATAAAAAAAAAAAAAATAAAATAAGTTTTGTCACCTGTATACATTAACTATATATTTTATGATGTTGGCCCATGCTGTCAGAAGTGGATGTGGGTGGCATGGCATTTTGTTGCCATATGACAGATGGCAGCAGAGGGGCAGTCTGACCGAATGGCATCTGAGATGGAAGTGCGTATGAAACAAAGATGTGTCACTGAATTCCTCCACGTGGAAAAAAATGCCCCCCGTGGACATTTGGTGACACTTACTGAATGTTTATGGACAGCAAACAGTGGGGCTGAGCACAGTGAGGCGCTGGGTGGTGCGTTTCAGCAGCGGTGACAGCAGGTCATCGTTGCTGGTGCAGATTGTTACAAGCACAGCATGCACAGCATGCAGGCCCCTGTCCATCACTGCTAAAAATGCATAGCTAATGGTGGTGACTGTTAAAAAAAAACATGTTCTGCAGCTGAGAATGTGCTCTATTAAATAGTGCTATTGTGCTCTATTGGTTGCAGTTTACATGGAAACATTTAAGAGGTATTGCTTTCAGAGCAACCTTCATGATGCAGCCCTAGACAATTCCTATTCATGCAGCCCAGGCAAGACAAAAGGTAGGACGCCCATGTCATAGCAGATGCCTTAAACCAGCATCCTAATTCCATTCAGCATCATCCCCTGCCACATCAGGGATCTGTGCAATTCAGCTGTGGAACAACTAGAAGGCCCAGACTATGGATGCAGAACACAGAGGAGAAAAAAAAAATAAAAAGGAGTAAGAGAATAAAAAAATAAAACTCACTTAGTAGATTGCAATTGTATTTTGAATGCTTTATTTCAGTATGATAGTGTAGCACCTTCCCTTTTTCTTTGGGTGACACTGCTGGGCAGCCAGCATCTCCTACACAGCAATCGTGCACTGCCATCACCTGTTTGCTTCTGGTATCTACCTCAGCCCAGATTTACTGCTTCCAAAATAAAATGACAAAAAAATCACAAAATCTGAGCAACCCAATAATTTATTCCTTAAGGAAAACTCTCAGTCCATGCAACAACTTGATCCCTTCACTGCAGGGCCTCGCTTCGGCTGTCCCTTTGGCTGGAGCAGCATCCTGGAGCACATCTCTATGAGCAGAGCCAGGACCAGGAACAGCAGCCTGGTCCTGAGCTGAGCAAGAGGGGCCTTTCTGCTGAACCTGTCCATGGGCTGAGATAACAGCCCCTGCCCCTTTTTCAGAACGCAATTTACTCATTACTGCTAGAGTAACCTATAGAAGTCTAAAAATTGATTAATCTTTAAGGGATGTCTTGGATTTCCTTTAACCACTTACAACAAGAAAGACATAGAGGCCCTGGAGTGTGTCCAGAGAAGGACAGTGAAGCTGTGAAGGGCCCGGAGCACAAGTCTTATTGGGAGAGGCTGAGAGAACTGGGATTTTCAGACTGCAGAAGAGGAGGCTCAGGGAAATGTTATCACTCTCTATAATTGCCTGAAGGGAGGTTGTGATGTAGTGGGGATCAATCTCTTCTCCCATGTAACAGCAATAGGATGAGAGGGGACGGCCTCAAGTTGTGCCAGGAGAGGTTCAGGTTGGACGTTAGGAAATACTTCCATGAGAGGTGAGGCATTGGCACAGGCTGCCAGGGAGGTGGTGGAGTCAGCGTCTCTGGAGGTGTCCAAGAAGTGTTTAGATGTTGTACTGAGGGACATGGTCAGTGGGAAATACTGCTGATAAGAGGATGGTTGGACTAGATGATCTTAGAGGTCTTTTCCAACCTTGGGGATTCTATGATTCTGTGATTCTATGGCTTTTGTAGCTCTTTTCTCAGCTCCATTGAGCCTGCAGTACCCCCTTGGGAAGGTGGTGTTCCGAAGGCCTCCCAGCTGAGGCTGAGCAGCAGCTCCAGCCCCCAACTACCGTTCCTCACCTCTTTCCCTGAGCCTCGCAGCAGCGAGGAAAGCTCACGGAGGAAGGAGCTGGAGCACTGGCACAGCTCTCTGTGCCTATGGCACCCAGCTGCAGGGGCGGCTGCCGCACACTGGTGAGGTGCTCTGCCCGCATGATGCGATGGGGAACGCACCAGAACTCCCCAAAACCAACGCAGAATTGTGCCGAACACATGGCGTGACGTGGCTGTGCAGCATCACCCAGCAGCACCAGGAGCGGCCGGGGCACAGAGGGGGAGGTGGCGGGGCGGGCAGGGGAGCAGAACGCTGCTTCTGGGGAGGAGAAACCCGGGGGGACAGCAGTGACCGAGCCGGGCTCGCTGCTGCAGCCAGCACAGGGCTAAGAGCGACCTTCCTCCCGGCCGTTGACCTTTGGACGGAGGTGAAGCAGGAAGCCGCCCCGGCTCTGCCACGGCCAGGCGGGATCCCGATGCTGTGCGAGGAGCGGGGCTGTGTGTGCAGGCCGGCCGGGCGCCGCCATCCCGCCATCGGACGGGCTTCGACTCTCGGGCCCAGGGCGCGGCGGGGAGGGCGGTGCTGCCGTGAGACCCGGCCACGCGCTTGACACCGAACTCCTCGCGGTTCTTCACGCCGGGCCACGGCCTGCTCCCCGCCCGCTCCCCCGTTACGCCCGTGGTCGCGCCCACACAAAACCGAGCGCTCAGATAAGGATCTCGGGGGGATTTATTGCTTTTTTCAACCGCGGCAGCGCGCGGCTCGACCCGCAGGAGGCTCGGCCGCCGCACCGACGCCCATCGTGCGGCCCGGCACCGCTCGGCACCCCGCCCCGCGGCCGCCATTTTCCGCCGCCGCGCGGCTACGCGCCCGCCTCCCTCCGCGTTGCCGTAGCGACCGCAGGCCGGCTGGCGCCCGCCGCCGCGCGCCCAATCGGAAGGCGGCGCTCCCCCTCCCCCTCCCCCCGGCGCCGGAAGGGGCGTGTCCTCGGCGCCGGAAGCGGGGCCGCAGCTCCGCAGGGTGTGTGTGCGTGCGCCGAGCGGCCGCCGCGCTCCAGTCGCCTCGCCCGTCGGGATCCAGGCTGCGGTGCGCGCCGCCCCCCCGCCAGGTGAGGGTCTCCGGCCGCCCGCGCCTCGCCCTCCCCCCCTCCCCCGGCCGGGCCGCGCCGCCGCGGTCCCGCCGGAGCCCGGGGAGTGGGCGGGGGAGGCCTGCCGCTCCCGCCCGGCCGCCTGGGGGGCGGTGGAGGCCGCGCCGTGCGGAGCGGGGGCGGCCAGGCCGCGCCGCCTTCGTCCCTCCGTGCTCCCGGCGCCGGCGGGGCGAAGTCGCCCCGAGTAACGGTGTGACCCTACCGCGGGGGCCGCTGCGGAGCCCGCGCGGACGGCGCCGCCTCCCGGCCGGCTCCCGGCCCGGCCCCACCCGCCTGAGTCACTGCGCTGCCGCGGGGCGAGGCCGCGCACACCTGGCCGAGCCGCGGGCCCGCGCCCTCTGTCGCCGCCCGTGAAGGGCTCGGCCGGGGCGAGGGGAGGAGGCGATCCGCCCCCGGGGCAGGGCCGAGCCCGGCTCGCGGCCCCCTCCTCCCGAGGGCTCCTCCCTTCACGACCCTCTCCGGCCTCCGGGCCTTCTCGCGGCGCTCACAAAGCCGGGAGCTGATCGAGGCGGCCCCGGGGCGGTGCCCGTCCGTGTGAGCCCGCTCAGGTTTAGCAGAGGCGATCGGAGAAGCGTCTCCAGTGCTTCGGAAGAAGACGTAATATCGATGGTGTTATTTTTAATTTTTAATTATTCGTATTTGGGAGTAGAGATGAGCTTAGGGAGGACTGCAGAGAGAAAGAAGGTGACTTCACGCTATCCCCAGCAGAAAAGAAGGTTGGGTAGTAATCCAGAGCTGATAACTTTAGGCCTTATTTGAGGTATGTATGATCAGATATTAATTGGGATGATAGAGAGTCAGTGAGACGCAGTGACTGCCTTAGCATGTAGGGCAAGAATGTATCTCATGCAGACATTGCAGTATAAATCAGTTACTTAGTTAAATTCCTTGCTAACAGTTAAAATAACTTTTCTTGTGGTAGGAAGAAAAAACTGTATATCATGCAGCATTATAAAAGCTACATTCCTACAAAAGAACTTGTAAGGTTGTGGAGCATTGGTGGTTATAGGAGTACCTGTGTCTTCACATATGCACTGCTGCACAATCTCAGTCAGAAATTGTAATGTTTGTATTTAAAGAGAAGCTTGCTTTTGTTTGAGAGCAATATGGAGATGCAAAGTGGTCTAGAAAACAAAAAAAAAGAATGTGAATGTTTTCTTTCACTCTTGATATTAAAAACCTACAAAAATATCATTTATGTAACACTTAGTTTATTAAATTGGTACCAATGAAGTAGTAGACTCCTTGCACAGATGGGCCTGGTGCAGTTTTCTCAACCTCATTATGTCAGTACTGCGTGTTCTGATCTCTGCTATTTTGATGTTGAGTCCTTTTTTTGTAAGCAGGCCTTTGCTGGTATGCAGCTTTTTGTGCTGTATGTGAGTAAACCCCAATGAGGAGTTAAGTAAATAATTATTTGAATGATGGGATGAAAAGCCAGTACTGCAGTCTGTCTGGTATCCTGATAAATCCCAGCAGGGCTAGGCCTTATTTTAGTGTCTTTTATATGGCCACGCTTTTTGCTCTATGCTGTAATAGAAATGTTTTCAGACAGTCATTAACAAAAGTGATTTCCCTGTGATACGAATACATTAGTTTGTCATTAATTTTATGCCTGGAGGGGGAGATTTTTTGGGATAACTCACTATTTCCACTTGGACTTGGGCCAAAAGCACACTCATTGGAACCACAAGGTGTTACCATGTAAGTATGTTGTACTTTGGAACTGCGTGCTTGTCTCCACCTGCAGCTGTCCTGTGTGAAGTGCCATAAGGTATGCAGCAGTGCAGTGCTTTTCAGCCTCAAGTTTCTCATCCAAAGTTATTAAGGACAGCAAGGCTGTGGTCATTAAATTTAAGTTGTCCACACAATATCAGTTTCCATCCGTACTCTTGTTACTTCTGATAGAAAATCCCATGGTTATTGCAGAGATTGAAAACCTTGTGTATCATTTTTCCAAAATGGTGTTGGTCAGTTTTAGGAAGAAACAACTGATGGTGGCAGAAAGCGGCCCGAGCAAATTGAGGCATGGCTTTATAGAATGTTAATGTTATCTTAACGTTTGCAGGATGATTAGCACTGAAGGCCGGGATGTATTTCTAACCAGCAGGTACAGAGGACCTCCTCTGTGTTATGATGTTATGTGCTACGCAAGGTCAGCAAGAATATCACAGCTGTGAAACCATTTTCTTTTCCCTTCCTTAAGTATGCAGTATATTTTACTGAAGTTTTGTTGTAGCCAAGCTCAGGGTAGCTGTAGAAGAATTCAGTGTTCTGATCGTAGCAGACGTCCATTTTCTGATCAGTTGTTTAACAATAGATGGTTGCCTGGGAGGGAACTGAAATAGAGAGACAAAAATAATGAAGTGAAATGCCTGAGATAAAGCAAAGAAGGTTCCTTGCACTCCATTTAAAGAGGGCCAATTCCTTTCCTGCAGAAAATACTGAGTGATGCCTGCTTGATGTGACTGCCATCAGTGTCACACAGGTTCTGCCAGCATTGTAGCTCTAGTGTCAGCATGTGTGCCCCTGAATTATGGCTTTGCCATTTGTTTTACAAATAGCTTAAAAGCTGTTAGTCTCAATAATTACAGAAATAGAATGTGAAATGTGAACATAGAATGGAGTGTACCTCACAGACGTGTTTAATTTTGTAATTAATTGCCTATCCACAAAACCTGTAAGGTACGTTCATGTGTTGGTAGCTGAACCACAAGTGCTATACCACACTTCTGCTTTTCCTGTTATAATTTGAATGGATCTCCACAGTTTGTGACTGAGAAATGTTTGTCACGTTTCGCTGAATCTGATTTTACACTCATTTCTCACAGTGAAACATTAGTCTGTTAAATTGCATCTCTACTTGACTCATTAGTGATGGGTTTGTCAAACCAGTAGTTGCACCAGTTTTACAATGAGGTGGAAGTGTTTGTTTGACAGCCTCTAACAGTTGCTGTGAGGAGAAAAGCAATACACAGCAATCAATGACTTAATTAGCATCAGAAGAACAGGCAGACTTCAGGCCAGCATCAGCTTATTAGTATTGTCTTGTCAGTTCAATATGTTACGTAAGCCAGATTTTTTTCAGTGTCATTTTTCATCTAGTTCCTACAGACTATAAACACAGTTATTTCTGATCTGTTTTGGCTTTGTCCTAAAACAGTTCATTGAGCCTGGAAGCAGCGAAGGCCACAAAGCAGACGTTGTAACTGCTGAGCAGCAAGATGCAGTCCTCCTCAAGCTCTTGCAGTCTTCTGAAGAACGTTACCTACATGGTTTGCTCTCCAGCTGTATTGACATGTAAACCTCCAATGTTGTGCATCACTCTTCTCTTGAAAGCTCTGGGTGTACTGACTTCAGGTGCTGTGTGCAGGATGGGCACACCTTCCCCTCCTTACTGCCTCTTGCACAGAAAGCAGCCAAGCATTTATAAACCTCCTGACCTCTACCTTAGGTATTTTGTAATTGTAGCAGCTCTCACCTACACAGATGTCAAACTGTGGGGAGGGAAGTAAGCAGTTGTAATTTTCTCCAATCAATACGTGCCATCCCGTGCTTGTAACAGGTTGGAAAAGCTTAGGCTGTATGAGGGAGAGATGGTTTTCGTCTCTTACTTTGAGTGTGGGGAATCAGAGTGCTCTGAGTTGCTGGCTGCTTGTACTAATGGCTGCAGCTGCTGGCTAGTAGTGGCATTCCTTACTGTAAGTGGTGTCCAGCCCTTCTTTCTGGAGGGCTGCTAAGTTGTCGTTTGACGGATTCTTAAGAAGGCAATCTTAAGAATTTGCACTGTATTAACAAATCTGAGAATCTTCCGCTTGGAACAGGCAACTTTTGCAACTCCTCCATGGCTGTGATCTGCACGTCTTCCCTCCTTTTTCCATCTTCCCTCTTTCCCTTTTGCCAACATGGCATGGCTTCATTAGCACCAGAGTAGATCATTCCTCTTGGCCTTCTGTTTGTCACCTCTGTGTGTCTGGCTCCTAGCTGCAGGTAACCTTTGTTAGCTGGCTTCTGTTTGTGGCCTAGGACTATTTTTTAGCTCTAGGCTTTGCTTGTTTCAGACTGTGGCACACTGATCCGTTGTTAGTGTGGCTTCCATCTCCTTTATGGGAGGGACTAGTTATAAGTGATACTTGCCTCTTTGCCTTTTCAAACATCACTCCTTTCCTTGTATCTTTTTTTCCTTCTGGCAAACACCTCCCTCTTTTGGAGCTCAAGCCAGCATAGCTCTGCAAAGCTCTTCTCCAGGCTTCTAGCAAGGTAAGCAACGGAGAATAACATGGTGTTCTTTACACAGCACCCTGTGACTGAAGTGATGGTAGGCTGACTGGCGGGTTGCAGACATCTTGGTGTGGGCAATGATTTTCTTGCTGCCTTTTAAGTTCTGTTAACTCCATCTTATGGAATAGTACTTGATGGTTTCATAGCAAACACGCTAAGAGTACAGATATTAAGATAAATTGGCAGTTCAAACCCCTGTATAATGAATTCTTAATTTAAGCCAGTGAAGTTCTGAGGAGCTCCATCTTCAGTAATGAGTTTGAGTTGCATTTAAGATGTGCATGAATTTATGCTACTAAAGAAAGTTATTTGAGAAACAGTGTTGTAATGCTCTGTGCTAATGCTTTGGCTGTGTAGCTGGTGTGTTACAGTGGTTTCTGGAGCTCTTTTATCCACTAGCACTTTGTCCTTGCAGTTCCCTCTGACTTCCTTAGCACGTCCTTACACGAACCCATTGGCTTCCACAAACTGACTTGCATCCAAAGATAAATATGTCAGTTAGCTTGATAAAACAAACTCTTCAGCATTTCAAAACTAAACTATATTGTTTGTAAACAGAATTCTGGACCAATGACTTGTGTGCACGTCAGACCACTGTTGGCAGAATGCAGATCAAAGATCATACTGGCTTTTTCAGTGGCAAAGCGTAAACTGCTGTTGTTGCTTGCCTCGAGGCTTCAGCATGCTGCCTTTTCCTAATGTATAATTGTGTTCCCTGAAAGGAAAAGAAAATGATGGCAGTAAAACTCCTTCTAGAAGCTGTACTGAGGAAGCTGGAAGTGTTTTGTTCAGAGGTCCTGTTATGTCACAAGAGCCAACTTTAAATAAAAAGCATTCTTCAGGTGTGCTCTGCTCACGGATGGAGAAGTGGCATTACTTCCCACATGATGCACATAATCGAACACAGTGCTGAGTTAAGGGAGTGGTTTTGGAAGTTGCAGCAGTTGTAAATGCAATAGATCCTCTCAATGGTAAACACTCTGCTGATTTCCTCACTATATATGTGTGTAGATATACCAGTGTATTGTCAGCCCTTTAAATAGGGCTGCATTTTCTTGCCTAATTAATAGAAGCCTGTGAAAGCAAATTAGGAACTTATTGTTCTCATTCATTTTTTTTCCTGTTCCTTTAGAGTTGTTTGTAAGCTGTTTAGGTCTCGACTGAAAATTTCTGGTTGCAGACATCTTGATCTAGACATTGAGAGCCCAGATTGACTTGAAGCAGCAAGAAAGGAATCTTACTGCTCAGTGCTAACAAAAATGACCCTTCTGGGCCTGCCAGGATGTGCAGATTTAAGCGTGTGGGTAAATGTTACTGATAAATCTGAACACCTGGGAGTTTGTGAGGCATTGAGGTCCTCTGCACGGAGACTCATCTTGTTTTCCTTCAAACTGGGGCCCAGCTGATGGAATACAACGTTAGCTTAATGGCCAAGTTAACTATATGTTGCTGCTGTCTCGTAGGAACAAGCAGCACTCAGTCTGCTTACTGACAAGTTCTTTACTAGCTTCCTTTTTCTTTGCTGAAGCTCTTCAGGACACAGTGGTCGTGTGATGTGTTTTTCTTGGTGCAGTTTAGCTGAAGCCACCAGAGATGATAAACAAGTTGTTTCCATACAAGCAATTGGTTTTGCAGCAGTGACTGTTATGCAGCCACATCCCATTCATGTCAGGGTTACTTAAGGATCTTAGAAGCCTGAATCCCAGCCACCCTAGCTGTGTGGAATTGCCCATTTTAGACATCTATCTATCTAGAAAGAATAAATTTCTGGTAGAGCAGTGTATTTTCTGTGGTTGCTGACAGCTGTGTCTGTAGAGGGTGTGGTACATTCCCACAGAAACATCTCCTGCAGTGAGCAGAAGATCCGTGGTGTTGGTCTGTGCTCTGAAACAGCTGCTGTTGAAGACCAATGCACAACCAGTACAAAGGCTCTGCTGATCCCTGCATTAGGGCATGAGGTGTGTGGCCCAGGCTGAGCTATGGCCAGTATGGGAAAGAGGAGAGACTTATGCAGGGAACGTACTGATGTGCCTACCTTTGTGCTTATTTCATTCCTCACTGAAGTATGAGGAATAATGCTTATGTGCTTTCAGGGTTGTAATTGCACGTAATTCCTACATAAAAATTGAGAAATAACAATTTACATTACAAAAAAAAAAATCTACTGGAGTGGGTAATCTTGGCACCTTTTAGTGGCTGTGAGTTGTCCTTCACCCATCAGCATTAACTTTTGCTGTATAGATGATCTAAAAGTGTTTTCTGTTTTTATTCCCCGCTAATTGCAGGATAGCCATGGATAAGAGTGAGTTGGTACAGAAAGCCAAACTGGCCGAGCAGGCCGAGCGTTACGATGACATGGCTGCTGCTATGAAGGCTGTCACTGAGCAAGGACATGAACTGTCCAATGAAGAAAGGAATCTCCTCTCAGTTGCCTACAAGAACGTGGTCGGTGCCCGCCGCTCCTCTTGGCGTGTGATTTCCAGCATTGAACAGAAAACAGAGAGGAATGAGAAAAAACAGCAGATGGGAAGAGAATATCGTGAGAAAATTGAGGCTGAATTGCAAGATATCTGCAATGATGTTCTGGTAATAATCCAACAGCAAAAATAACAGTAGCTAGTACTGCAGTATTCTTCAGAGAGCCTTAAGGAATCTTATTAGGGTTGTAGATACTGCATCACCATAGCAGGGAAATGGTTCTGCTTAACCACAGGTTTAAGTCCAGTTCTAGCTCCTAAATAATCTAGTTCGTTTCTTAAGGAATTTTTTGGATTCTTACATGTTTTAAAAATAGCATTTTGTTTAAATAGAAATGAACAAGGCAGTGTTGAAGACTGCCTAACTGCTGGCCAGTGCTCAGCGTGAACATGAGTTTAGCAATAGCGTAAATCCTGATAAAAAGCTTGCTGTTTGCTTAAATCGTTTTGTTAATGAATGCTGACTTCCTGAGGATTGTTCAGTACCTTTTAGGGGAGGAGAAGGTTTGCACTTCCCCAAAATTAGTTCTGTTGTTTCTTTCTCTTAAACGAGAGGGGTCCTTTATATTGCTGTTTGTTTTACTACAGATCTGCCCTCAGGAACAGATGATGTCAGTACTCTCAGTCTTTTCACTTCTTTCTGAATGTGCATGTGCTGTCTGTGCCACTGTTCAGGTTTTCAGCTGGAGCTGCAGATAGAATCAGTTTGTTACAGATTCACTGATGTGCTCAGAGTTGAAACTTGTGGTGGGAAAATTGACTGCATTTGTGCTAAAGGCAAGCTGCTGCTCTTCATTAGTTTGCTTGTGGGTGTAGGTTTGCTCCAGTGTATTTCTAGGAAAATATTTACAGTAGTAAGCTCTGATAGCCATTAGATTCTTGAGGAGTGATTCTCTATAGCTTCAATAGAGCAGATTTTCTGAGGATGAGGATCCATATGATGTCTTTTTTCCTTTCTGGGTTTAGGGAACATCACAGTGACTGACACACACATACACGTGTTAATGTTCCAACAGTTTGTGTTTACTGTTGTGATGGAGGCTCTGTTTCAGATATTATTGTTATGACTTGGGAAAAAAACAAGTTTCCTTTCTCAGGAACTCCTGGATAAATACCTGATTGTCAATGCCACGCAGCCGGAAAGCAAGGTCTTCTATTTGAAAATGAAAGGCGATTACTACAGATACCTGTCAGAAGTGGCATCTGGGGACAATAAGCAAAGTAGGTAGAGGTGAAAGCTCTCATTCTACAGGGGACTGGGCAAAATAAAGTGTAGGGAACACTTCTCATTTTCTCCTTTTTCTTTCTTTTTTGCTCGTGCTTCATAGTTTTGAAGATGAGTGCAGTGCAGGTCACTTTTAGAGAAACAAGTTTCTATGAAATTAGTAGAAGCACTTAACCAATATTCATCACATCAATCAAATTCTGCTTGCAATACCCAACCTCTATGATTTTTAAGTTCATTTGGCAGTGTGAAATAATTTTTCTGGTGCGTGGAGGAGGAGAGCTTTTTTTTCCCATGAAAAATGCTTTGTTGCTATCATTTTTTGTTTCAACTATGCATTTATCTCACAATTCTTCTATGTTTGCAAGCTTTCTGCTTACAGAGGTGTGGGACATTGGGTTACTGAGTCTTAAGCCAGATAATCTTGGGAAGTGTTAAAGCAACACTGAATTATGCCCGAATTCTTGGTGGGTGTCTGGTCTGGCCCACAACTGTAAGCTTAGTTTGACATCATTCTTGAATGTATTGTTACCCATTAGGCAGGGAATGGACTATTTGCTTTCTTCTGAAAGGCCATACTGAGGTACTGAGTACATGACCTGCCTGTGGAAAGCTTCCTTCTCAGGAGAGTTTAAGCATGTTGTTTACATAAACTCCTTTCCCCTGTACTGTATTGTCTGGATTTACTAGAATTTAAATACTATAGCCCAAACCTTTATCTAAACAAATATTTCAGCCTTAGTAGTTAAGCCAGAGGCTGTTCCCTCTGAAATCATTGAAAGAACCTTGAGTGCCTTTGTGGTTTTTATAAATACCTAGTGGCATAAATAGTCTAGACTAAGAATGCAAGTACCACAAAGTACAGTGATGTACTGTACATTAATATGCTTGTAATTGCTTCTTGCAGCAACGGTAGCAAACTCTCAGCAAGCTTACCAGGAGGCATTTGAAATTAGCAAGAAAGAGATGCAGCCAACGCACCCCATTCGACTTGGGTTGGCTCTCAATTTCTCTGTCTTCTATTATGAGATACTCAATTCTCCTGAAAAAGCCTGTAATCTGGCCAAGACGGTAAGCAGACTCTGTGTTACCAATTTCTGTGTGGGCTAAGGAGATAATTACATGGTTACAATAGCACCTTGTAGATGATTATGCTTTCTCAGATGGAATTCCTTAATTATGTTGTCATCTTTAAACTATAGTCATCTTGATATGTTTTCAGGTAAGTTAACTTAGCTGGGCTAGCTTAGCTTCATTACAGCTAATTTGCTAGTGCAGTTGATCCAGTGATAGGGGTGACCAAGTGATTCTTCTTATGTTCATTTCATTACCTTGAAATGTCCTTGTGTCAAGTTTGAAAACACTGTTTAAAGTGAAATTGATTTAAATTTGAACACTTAGCTAATATGTGGAGTGTTGTCTTCTACAGGCATAGCTCAAAATGTTGCCTTGTTTGCATGCTCACCTCCCTCCAAAGACCAAAAAGAGCTTGTGTGACAGTTTGTGCTAAACAAATAGGTTGTCACTGTCCAGTTTGGTCTTCTCCCTAAAATAGGCTTAAAGCCTAAAGTGAAACATTTTTTACATCTGTGAATGATAACTGGTAGTAACTTGTGTAATACAGCATCAGCTGAATTGTTGTGTTGTTGATACACATTTTAACAATATTTTGTAACAGGTGCAGTTTTTCTGTGCAAAATACTGCTGCTAGTCCTGATTTTTTTGTTTTTAGTTAATATACTTACATCTTTTTGAAACCTGAATGAGAGGGCAGTCTAATTGTGGCTCTCAGCTCTGACCTGCAGTGTGCATTTTCATGTGTAACAGCTGGATGGGCAGCATGGCTTTTAATCTCTGTTAAAACATACCTGGTGTGCTGTGCTGTTTTGAAAAGAAATCCAAAACAAAGAATCCTACTCTACCCTCAAAAAACCCCCCCAACCCTTGACTTTCATTTTATTTCCTACTTATTTATGTTTAATATGTATCAACTGAATAGTACCTTTCTCTTCTACTGTCACTTTAAACCACTGAGGCCTTCGCCTTTCCTTTAATTAAAGTATTGCTATTAGGTTTTCCTCTTAGACCTGACTTTCAGCTATGTGAGTCATTGTTCAGTATAGCAGTGTGTGCTTACCTCCTCAGTACTTGGTGTTGGCCTTAATCTGGCCCCTCGTGGAGACTTCTCTTTTCCCACTGGTTGTTTAGCAATCTGGTGCTTACTCTGGTTTCCTTTTCTTGGTAGAAAAGAAAAATATGGAAGCTTTGTTACAAACGTACGTGATTTGTGTAGGCAGAAATGAGTTCAGAGAGCAGAGTGAAAGTGCTTTTTTTTTTCTTGCATGTTTTAGGCATTTGATGAAGCAATAGCAGAGCTGGACACGCTGAATGAAGAGTCTTACAAAGACAGCACTCTCATCATGCAGCTGCTTAGAGACAACCTCACTGTAAGTAGCACAGGGCAAACTGCTGCATTCTGTGCTGCTGCATCTTCAGGCAGCTGGACTCTGCTAAGTAGGACATAGCTGAAGATTCATGTAGTTCTGTGCCACTGAAAACACTTTTTGTGAAGCATTAAGTCAATGTCTTAACTGCACTGCTTCTTGTAACCAGACCAGTCAGACTTGCTTGCTTAAATCAGAGACCACTTGTTAACCACTGCAACAAACAGCCTTTTTGTAATACAGAGTGCAGTGTGCCTGTTCTCAACTGCCAGGCTGTCTTTGTGTTTGGCTTGAAAACAGTTTGCATTTACTTGTAATCCTCTACCAATTTTCTAGTTTGTCCTTTATCTTTACTTTAAATTCAGTTCTCAGTTACTCTTAGCTGAGTGAATTGCACAGCTGCTAATTATGCTGTCTTCGTTTTACTTGCGGTCATAATTAACTGTATGCTTTCAGCATGAACATGTATTTGTATTTTCTTACAGCTATGGACGTCGGAAAACCAGGGAGATGAAGGTGATGCTGGGGAGGGAGAGAACTAATGGCTGTCACGCTTCACTATATGTTCAATGTCACCCTGTATCCTACACATATATCCCTTTGTGCGACAAGCAAAAAGAATAGTACATCGACTTTCACAACCTCAACGTAGCAAAAACTGTCTGTGGGGTAAAAACGGTTGGTTGGTGTTCTGTGTACTTAAAATGGAGGTCGGTTATTATAATGGCATTCCGAATTTTCCTATTATGAACATTTACAGTTATGATTACCGTGTTTATATTTTTAACTGAACACTGTGATTATGGGTTTTGTGATTGCAATTGACTTTACAAAACTCTTATTGGTAGAAAAATAGACATCAATTATGTAACAGCGGAAAGTAAAATTTGGCACCGAAATAGTCGAAGTACAATTCTGTTGTAAAGTTGTACAGAAAGTTATAAAGATTCTATTGTGACACTGGGGCATGGAAGGAAAACAATCCGATGTATGGCATTCCAGTTAGTAACACACTGCTATGAGTTAGTTTAACAGGCACACTCTGTAGACATTTTTAACCAAGTCTGAGGCACCGCTTTCAGTCAAAAGCTCACTTTGTCAATCCTATCTTTCTGAGGACCGGGTTTGTTTTGAGGAGGAGGGTAATGGGGGAGCTAGCAGCTTGATTTCCAAACTCTTTACACTGGCAAATAACTGGGATTTGACTTCTAAAAGTGGTTTTGTGCTCATACAACATGCATGACTAGGCCCCTTCCCACAGCAATAACTTAATTATATCTTCGATATTCTTCAGTAGTGAGAATTCTTGGTTCACTATCATGGACTTGCAATAGCAGAAGATTCAATTTTTTGAATGGCCTTATTAGTTTGGATGATACCATGAAGTGATCTGCCACTTTTGCATTACTATACTCTTGGGTGAATAAAAACTCCATGGTATTCCCATTTTGAATTTATCTCAGAAGCCTTTTAATTACTCCACCGAGCCTTCTTTAAGTTTGCTTTATAGAAGACTTTCTCCCATCCTGCTCTGTTCATCCTTGACCCTTTTACCTGTTGAAACTCCATGGAAGCGATTTTAGACTCCCACACACAGATCATCCTTTCTTTGATTGTGGCTGATATCAGTATGGCAGGTGAGAGCTGAGGCTGCCAGAGGACAGGTTTCTGTCTCAGATGCTTGAGAGCTGTCAGTGCTGTTGCAGTCTTCAGCTCATCTGCCTTTTTTTTTTTTTATAATTCCAAGATCTGGCTCAAATATTCAGGATTTCCCACGTATTGTACTGGAATGCAGACCTTACCCATCTGTAACACTTGTAATATTTGAGCTCCCCATGTCCTCACCTATTATGTTTCAAACATGTCCCATTGAAGAAAACCTAATAAGAGTTGTGTGAATAATGCAGTGGAAAAGATGAGGATCGGTCACCTCTCAGCCTCGCGGTATCATCCCCTGCCTTCACATTCCACTTAGGTATAGGCTCCATCTGTTTGTCTGTCCATCTGTCTGCTGAAGAGAGAATTTCATGCACTGATTTTAAAACTCCCCTCTACTAGCTGAACAAATTGTGCAGTTAATACTTGGCGCTTGATAAATGCAGTAGTGAATGTGGAACCGAGCCTGTCTGTATATCTGGTAGCTCTTTTCGCTTTGTTTTTACTGACCAGTATTCTGCCTAAAGTTTGCTTCTGTGACGGTTATATTGCCTAGCACACATGTGGTTGTGAGAATAGTATAGCAAAAAGAAAAACCTGGTTATTGATGTACTAGATTTGTGTATGTCTTTTAAACAGTTCTAGTTTCACCTTACACAAAATAATCAGGAAAGTGTAAAAGAATTCAAAAGTGAATAATAAAAAAATTTTATCAGTTGTTTGTGCCTGTTATGTTTGCCATCCTTCTTGTGGCAGTCGAATCACCACTTCTTTTTTTATTACATGCTCAGATCTTGGGTTGTGTGAGCCGACTGGTGCTTTCCCAAAGGCTTTAATGCTTCACCCAACTGCATTCAACTCTTTGAAAGGGTAGATAACAGCTGGACAAGGGGAAATGGTTTTAAGTTGAAGGAGGGAAGATTTAGGTTGGATATCGGGGGGAAGCTCTTTACTATGAGGGTGGTGAGGTGCTGCCCAGAGAGGCTGTGGATGCCCCATCCCTGGAGGTGTTCAAGGTCAGATTGGATGGGGCCCTGGGCAGCCTGGTCTGGTTTTGAATGGGGAGGCTCGTGGCCCTGCATGTGGTGGGAGGGTTGCAGATTCATGATCCTTGAGGTCCCTTCCAACCCTGGCCATTCAGTGATTCATTACCTGCTCCTTTGCAGGGAGTTTTGTCCATCGCCCTTCCAGCTCTGAAGAGATTCTCTGTTTGAGGTCACACTTGTGCTGTATTGCCACTACAGGACTAAACAGAACTGCAACTGTAAATCTCTGTTTAATTTATCACGAGTGATTGCATATTGCATGGATGAACACAACGTACATACAGAAGTCAGCCAGCACTCACTGCTGTTGGCCAGCTAAATTTAAAGCTTTTTCCTGGGGGAAACTTGAAATGCATTCTTTTGAATGAGGGGGTCGGTTTTCCAGCCGTGCCTCCCCCAGTCATTGCGTGCATTCCCCATTGCACATCGCAGCCCGCACACGCTCCAGTTAACAACTCAGCTGGTGAGCTGCGAGAGCGATAACGGTGTGGTGCACGGCTGAGGCGTCTTCCCGCAAGCAGCGCTGGAAGGCACGGATAGCAGCATCTCAGTTAGGGGAGAGCGCTGAGGGGGCTGGTTGGGGCCGAGCCCTGCCTGCTCGGAGAGCATCTTCGGCTCCTGCGCTGCGCTCATCCCGGAGCGCAGCCGCGGGGCTTCGTCTGCCTGCTGCCGAGGTGTTGTGCTGGATCGGGGTGCGCTGCCGGCCCCGCAGCGCGGCTTAAGGATGCATCTTCGTTGCCTTTAGAGCTGACTGTGCTCTTAGATAATTTTATAGCGAGCACTAACTCTCACTCTTATCACTCGCGCTAACGACGTTGTCAGCTCCAGAAAGGGGCTGGCTGCCTATCCCCGCCCGTAGAGCGGTGCTGAGGAGCTATGGGAACACATCTCGAGTCGTTCTATCTTTTGGGGAAGGAATAATCCTTCCGTAAAGAAGAACGAAGCCGTGCCGGCCCCGCTGCTCTCAGTGCGCGCCCCGGCGGGAGCGGCGCCGCTCCGCCCCGGCACTGCCGTCCGCACCGCTCCGCCACGACGGCTCTGTGCTGCGGAGAGCAGCCGGCTTTAACCGCGGGCGGCCGGCAGACAGCAGCACCGCGACCTGCAGCCGCACAGCGCCCGGAGCGGAGCAGGGCGGGGCGGAGCCGGGCGGGGCGGGGCGGCAGCTGGCGGAGGGCGGGGAGGAACCCCGGGGAGGCGCGGCTCCGTTCCGCCCCCGGCGCCGCCGCGGGAAGAGGCGGGCGGTGGCCGCAGCGGTGCTGCGCGTGGAGCCGCCGGAGCGGTCGGTGTGAGTGTGGGAGCGGGGCGGGTTCCCTCAGCTCTCCCCGCCGGGCCGCGTTCAGCTCTCGGCCGGTTCCTCCCGCTCCCCTACCCGCTGTCGTTGCGGCGCTGCCCCGCTGCCCGGCTGCGTCCGAGGGCTCGGGCTGCTGGCGAGGCTGGGGCCGCTGCTCGGCTCTGCTGTTCCCGTGGCGGCGGTGTTGCCCCGCGCACCTCCCCGTGTCCGCAGAACGCCTTCGTGCGGCTCTGAGGTTCCCGAGCTGCGAGCACGAAGTGTCAGGGCGGGAGCTGCGCCGTTCCTGCGCCGGTGGCTTCGGGTGCTGATTTAGGGCCGTTCGCAGCGCTGCTCCCCGCCTCAGCGCGGGGTTGGCGTGGAGCTGTGCTGGCGAAGGGCTGCTTACTTAACTGGGATGAAGCTCCGTTTCTTTACTCTTGGCGTTTGAGCGCTGGAAGGCCCGGGTCTGTGCCCGCAGTGCGCTGTGCTGGGGGCTGCGATGTGTGCCAGCGACTCTGGAGTGCTTTTCCCCCACCAAAATATCCCCGCAAACCCTGAGCTCCCCCTGCTGCTGCCGACCCCGGAGGTTCTGGCGCATCTCCTGGCCCTACAGCAGCCCGGCTCCAACACGGGGCTGTCGCTGCTCCCTGCCGCCCCCCGACCCACGCCGCTTGTTTTTCTCCCCCTCCAGCTGAGCTTTGTGCTTGACCATGAACGCCAGTGGCCCCGGCTACCCGTTGGCCTCACTCTACGTGGGGGACCTCCACCCGGACGTGACCGAAGCCATGCTGTATGAGAAGTTCTCACCTGCAGGGCCCATCCTGTCCATCCGGGTGTGCCGGGACGTGGCCTCGCGCCGATCGCTGGGCTATGCCTACATCAACTTCCAGCAGCCGGCAGATGGTGAGCTCTGGAACTCAGCCCTGCGGAGCTGCCCACGCCTGGGGCTCAGGAGGGTGTGGGAGGAGCTGGGGCGGCAGCTGTTAGGGATGCTGATACCCTTCACGTGCTGGATTTGGGCTGTCATTAATCCTAGTTTGCACTCTCCTGTGGGACGGTGACCTATGTCTGCTCAGGGACTGGGAGATGCTGCAATAGTTGGGCTTTGGGAGGATTGGTTTCCTCCTTCTCAGCTTAAGAAGGGCATCCAAACCCCTTCTGCCCTTTGCTGGGCAGCTGGTTGCCCTCTGGCTTATACCAAGCAGAAGTAAGGTTCTTCTCCCAGTTTCCCTCTGCTGGCATCCCATCTCACCCTGCTGACCGCAGCACTGAATGGTAGAATTGCCTAAAAGGTGAAGGCTTTTCTGCCAGGTGCTGAAGCTGCCTGCCTTCTTTAGCTTAAGGAAATGCTTAGAGATGTCCCTGATTCCTGCACCTGTCTCAGGGGCTCTGGGACATGGAAAAGGTCTGTCCCTGTGATGATCCTGTCTCCTCTATGCTCACTCTTTGCCAGCTGAGCGAGCCCTGGACACCATGAACTTCGAAGTGATCAAGGGCCGACCTGTCCGGATCATGTGGTCACAGCGAGACCCTGGGCTCAGGAAGTCAGGGGTTGGAAATGTCTTTATCAAGAACCTGGATGACTCCATTGACAATAAAGCCCTGTATGACACATTCTCAGCCTTTGGGAACATCCTGTCCTGCAAGGTACATCCCTGTGTCTGTGCTGCTGTGGAGGGGACCTGGTGTATCTCCCCATTCTTGGCAGTGTGTTACAACCAGCTGAAATTCACTTCCTAGTTTCACTTCTTAAGTTTCCTTTGAATTCCCACCCTTTGCCTGGATAGAAGCGTTCTGTGTTTTCCATGGGGGTGGGGAAGGCTTTTCCTCCCCCACATTCCCTTTATTTTTTCCTCCTGATCCCTGACCTGCTGCCTACAAACACCTGAACACAGCTCTGCTGCATTGGGAGCGGGCTGTAAGGAGGGTGAACACTCTGGAAACAGGGGTGGTTTTCCCTGAGACTTACTTATGTGCAAGGACAACAAAAATCAGTATCTGTGGATTTTCTTTTCCTTTGCTCTGCTTTTGTAGGTGGTTTGTGATGAAAATGGATCCCGTGGCCATGGCTTTGTTCATTTTGAGACTCAAGAGGCAGCAACTCGTGCCATAGAGACCATGAATGGGATGCTCCTCAATGACCGCAAGGTGTAAGTCTGCCCTGGGGCTGCCTTGCACAGCTCCTCCATTGGCTTGGTGCTTGCTTGTGAGCAATGTGTGCCCTGCTCCAGCTGCTGCCTCCTGCCCTCAGTATCTCCTCTTTCCCCTTCACAGTTGAGCAATGCAGTTCTGCTTTCCAGAGCTGGAGCCGCTTGCAGTCTTTGCTGATGGCAGTGTGATAATGGTTTGGAGCCCTTCCTAATGATGGGGGAGGAACCTGACCTGGGGCTGTGTTTTATTGTTAAGGCAGTGTAATGAATACCCACAAAGCAGGGCTGGTCCTCAGTCTTCATCATCTGGGTGATATAGTCTGGGGCAGGAGGAAGTTTTGTCCTGCAGCAGCATTCTGCTGGTGTTACCTCACCTCAGATCCTCTGGGCTACTTTCCTCTCTGGCAAGGGGCTGCCAAAGAGCCTGGGGATGCCTTGGAGGAAGAGAGCTGCAATGTGGTGGCATCCATCAGTGTCTCTTCTGGGGTGACACCTCCAGCTATGCTCCTGGCCTGTACCAAGGCAGATGAGCCTGTGCCTGTTTTCCTCCTGCAGAGGACATAAAAGGTTTTATGGTTCTCTGCTTGCCTCCTGCAGGTTTGTTGGCCACTTTAAATCCCGCAAAGAGCGCGAGGCAGAATTTGGGGCCAGGGCAATGGAGTTCACCAACGTCTACATCAAAAACTTCGGGGATGACATGGATGATAACAGACTGCGGGAAATATTCTCCAGGTTTGGTGAGTGTAGTTGCTGAGGCCAAATAACCAAATGTCTGGGAAGTGAGCTGGGGACACAAATTGAGATGAGGAACACTTGGCTGAAACAGCTCTTCTCTAGTTGTGACCTGCTTTACTTAAAACACCACGTGGCTGAAGGGTTGCAGAGACTTGCATTGTCAGGATGCTGTGTGTGCTTTCCTGTAATGACGGGATGTTATTACGTGACCCAAGAAAAGTGTTGGTTTCCTTAGATTTCTGAGTAACAAATCATTTGTTTTTGAAATTGTCTTGAATGCTGTTTGGTTCTAAGAACCGTGGGAAAAAGAGATGTTGAGTTTGAATTTAAAGCAAAAGTAGCTTTCCCTGTTCAGTCTGTTCCTGGAGGGTGCCTCTCACAGCAGAGCTTGGTGCTGTGCCAGCTCATAAACCATGCTTGGCTAGTGCAAGCTCAGCTCATCTGTGAATGTCATTTATCTGAACCTGACATATGTGGTGATGCACTGAAGAGATGAGAACTCATGGCCAAAGAACCTGAAAAGCCAACAGCAATGAGAGCAGCATGCTGGATGGGAGGGATCATCCTGGCCTCCCACAGCCTCCTTTCCCCAGCTGCAGCAGGGATCCAGCAGTTCCTCGTGCTGCTTACCTCTTCCCCACTGCCTCCCAGTCTTCTCTTTGGGCCAGTGGCTTTGTTTGCTCCCCTGGGGCAAGCTTTCTTTACAGATGTTTCCTTCCCTCTTCCAGGAAAGACGCTGAGCGTCAAAGTCATGATGGACAACAGCGGGCGCTCCAAGGGCTTTGGGTTTGTGAACTTTGAGAAACACGAAGAAGCCCAGAAGGCAAGCAGCTCCTTGCTGTGCAGCTGGTGGGCAGCTTGGCTGCCGGCTCTGCTCACCTCTTGAGCTCTCCCCTGTCCTGGAGTAGGAGCTTGATGTCCCTGCTGGCCACAGTGTCAGCATAGCTGGGAGAGCTTGAATGAGCAGCACGTGTACAGGCCAGCCTTTTGGCCAGGGAGGGGGTGGACTTTGTGAGGACGCAGCTCCTGCCCTGCTTGCTGTGGGACTGGGGCAGTGGGGAAGAGTTCTGCTGGGCTCAGAGCTGCATTCTGCTGCCAGGCCGTGGCTGACATGAATGGGAAGGAGATCAATGGGCGCATGGTGTACGTGGGTCGGGCACAGAAGCGGCTGGAGCGGCAGAGTGAGCTGAAAAGGAGATTTGAGCAGATGAAGCAGGAGCGAGTGAGCAGGTACCAGGTAAGGGGGATGGGGTGCTCCTTCACGTGTGCTTGCGCTGCAGGTGTGCCCTCTGCAATACAGGTAACCACACAGAGATCCAGCTGCTATTCCCTAACATCCAGGGAAGCAATATCAAGCAATATTAGCAAAGAGCTCTAAGCTCAGGTTGACAAACTGGTCTGTTTTTTTTTTTTTTTTTTTTTTCCACAAAAATAACATTTTATTCTCAAAATTGGGAATTTTTTTGAGCTCTTGGAAGCCACTTCATAGCAGTTGTCTGGGTGTGTATCCCCAAGAGAGCAAAACACATGCTCCTCTTCAAGTCGCTGATTTCATTGGGGTGTTTTTTGGACTGTCCCACCTGCTGGCTGAGCTGCTGATGAAACATCAGCTTTAAAACCTGCTGTAAATCTTGGGATCCTAACCTACTTTTAGGAGGAGGCCAAGCTGTGCTTTTTCTGCCTCTTTGCAGGGGGTCAACCTGTATGTGAAGAACTTGGATGATGGGATAGATGATGAACGGCTGAGGAAGGAATTCTCTCCTTATGGCACCATCACCAGTGCCAAGGTAAGGGGTTGTGGGTCCTTGGGCTTTGCTGGCTGGCTGCTCAGCCCTCTGTGAGGGATTGGGGTGATTGTCCTTTTGAACTACAGTTCCCTACTGATGGCTTGTATCTCAAGCCAAGCATGAAAGATGTGTCACTTGTATCCAGTTCTGATTCAGCAAGTCTTGTTAACTTTGCTGAGTTATCCCAGCCCCAGTGAAATGCAGGATGTGGCCCATTAAAGCCAAATCACTCTGAATATTGCACAGCTGCTAGCATAGTTCATGACCAGTGATGCTGCAACTCTGCTTCTGAGCAAGCATCAGATGCTGCAGCATTACAGAGCCCTGCAGGGCTGAGGGAGATCACAGATCTTGAGCTGGCCTGGGCTCTGACCTCTGCACTTAGCAAACCTGTGTTTTTCAAGCAGACATATCCACTCCTTCCTTGGGAAATGCTGGGACAGGTGGGAGCATCCTATAATCTGTCCAACCCTGGGTGTGGGTGCCATGGGGTCCCTCTGTCCTGCTGACAAACCATCCAGGGGAGGTTCTGACCATGCTGTGCTTTGTGGGTGGCTGTGCTGATCTGTGGACTTAGTTGTGTTGTTCTAATCCAATTTTAGGTGATGACAGAGGGTGGCCACAGCAAAGGGTTTGGCTTTGTATGTTTTTCCTCTCCAGAAGAGGCTACCAAGGCCGTGACCGAAATGAACGGGCGGATCGTTAGCACTAAGCCTCTCTACGTTGCACTCGCACAAAGGAAAGAGGAGAGAAAAGCAATTCTCACCAACCAGTACATGCAGCGATTGGCCACCATGAGGGCACTGCCTGGCCCTTTTCTTGGCTCCTTCCAGCCTCCCCCAGGGTACTTTCTCCCCCCCATCCCTCAGGTGAGTCCTTCAGGGACAGCCTTGCATGGGGACCTGAATTTGCTGTATGTGGGGAGGAGCTGGGGTTGGTTGGTAGGATTTAGGGGCGTATCTCTGTTCTGCACAGACCTGGGTGCTGTTTGGTGCCAGTACCTGGCTTCAAAGTCAGCGTTGGATGTGCAGGAAAGCTGGCTTGAGGTGCTCCCACAACAGGCTGAGTGTTTGGTAGCCCTGGGGTGCTCCTTGGGTCACTAAGAAGTTTAGTGGAGGGGTTTGAGTGTGGAGATGGAATCTCCTAATGGAATGAGGGGAGCCAGGAGGGTTGGGGAAATGTGGAAAATGCACATGGGGAGGAGTTAAAGGGACTTGCTGGAGGAAACACAGGTGGTATGATTAGAAGCAGGTCTTTGGCTTGCCTGGCTGCTGAGATGCTCTGCCCTGCGGATCTGCTATAGACCAGCTCCCCAGTCACCTCAGATAATTTGCTCTCCTCCCATAGCCGCAAACCAGAGCTGCTTTCTACAGCCCCAACCCAGTTGTCCCTGTCCGTCCTGCCACTCGTTGGAGTGCGCAGCCCTCCCGGCCTCCCTGTGAGTGCATCCATCTGTCCCTTGCTGTCAGCTGGGCTGGTTCAGGGGTCAGAACACTCTCTTAAAGACACCACAAAGCACGGGGTCATGGGAAGCTGTCACCTGGAGAAGCATGCAGTGTCTTGATGTAGGGCTCACTGGTGGCAGGCACTGGGGCTCAGGCTGACCACAGAAACATTCCCTGACCATGGCCTCCTCCCATGCTTTTTTTCTATCAGAAACTTCACTAATTGTGCTCCATCTCTCTGGCAGCGTACCCTGCAGCCACCCCCATCCTGAGGACTGCTGCGCAGCCCCGGCGCCTGCTGTCCAACATCAGCACCATGAGACAGGCGTCCACCCAAGTGCCTCGTGTGCCCCCCCAGGCACAGAGAGTGGGTGAGTGCCACGGGGACCTGACTCAGGCCCTGCAATAGTGGGTGTGCATAGGGGCTGGCTGCCCCTGGGGTGAGTGGGATAGTGTGATTTCTTGCAGAGGAGGTTGGGTGGTGGTGGGGTTGGAGCAGATAGAAGTGTGTAACTTTTGGGGAAAGTTGTAGCCTTTTAGCTTCTGATACGCAGATTGGTTTTGCTAGATGCTGCTCCTTGCATGCATTCATTAAAGGTGATGGTGCAGCTATGGCTTGGTGCTCAGACTGAAGTAGGGGTTCTCAATTGCTCCAAGTGAACTACTGTGAGGCTCATTTCAGTAAAACATGCTTGTGTCAGGATTGCTTGGGGCTGTGGGCTGTCGCACTGCTTTCTGGAGGGTCAAGGTGTGGGTGTCTCTGCACAGACCGGTGGGCACAAGGGTAGTGCCCCTCCTGGGGACTTAGAGGCTGTTTGAGCCCACAGGGAGGATTAGCCTGATTGCAAGCCTGTGTTTAACAATCTCTTCCCTCCCTGTTGCAGCCAACATAGGGACGCAGACAGTCAGTGCCCGGGTGCCCTCCTCGCCCACCCTGCGGGGTGCCCCGCACTACAAGTACTCCCTGACTGTGAGGAACATCCAGCCCATGGGCAGTGTGCCACCTGGGGCTCAGCAGGTAGTGCCAGGCTTTGGTTTTGGTCCTAACTGGTGTGATGGAATCCCTGATGGAATCCCTTCCTGAGCTCCAGGTGCTCATCCTGCAGCAGTGTGGATGTGATGCCTGGCGCTGGTTTTCCCCAAAAGTTTGCACTGGGATACAAGCAGGCAGTGCCAGATTTTGCACTGGTGGCTCTCAAGGACAAAATGCTCCACTGTGCATCCTTGCATCCAAGGGCCAGCACTGTTCCTGAATGCCAACTCGTGTTTTGCTTCCAGCCTGACTGCTGCTCTTCTCTGTGTTTCTTCACTCAGGTGGGAGAACCTGCTGTGCACGTCCAAGGGCAGGAGCCGTTGACGGCATCCATGCTTGCAGCAGCCCCTCCACAGGAGCAGAAGCAGATGATAGGTGGGTGTCCAGGCTGCCAGAGATCCTCCTGTCTGTGTGTGCATGGGCAGATGGACTTGCATGTGCTAGGGAATGCATAGATAATAGGAGAAGCTCTAAGCTTGTGTTGGATTTCTCTGATATTATGTTGCTTTAAAAAGGAGGGGGGAAATGTGTCTAGGCTGTGTTGGAAGGATATGGAACTAGCAATCTCCTCTCTGTCTGCATTCACTGTCTGGCAGTGGGGTGGGCTCTACAGGACACGCACTGCTCCATCCTGCCTGTGCTGCCCCATGCAGCTGTCTGACTTCATCTGACAGCTTCCCTTCGTGTGTGAAACCCCTCTGGGCTCAGCAGAAGGCTGGGAGCAGAGCATTTTGAGGAAGGAAGAGGGAAGGTGTAGAGTTGGGAGTGCGGGGGACTTCCACTGACATCTTCCCTGGTGTTTTGGGCAGGTGAGAGGCTCTACCCCCTGATCCATGCGATGCATGCCTCGCTGGCTGGCAAGATCACAGGCATGCTGCTGGAGATTGACAATTCAGAGCTGCTGCTTCTGCTGGAGTCCCCTGAATCCCTGCACTCCAAGGTAGGGGGCATGTGGTGTCCAAACAGATCTGTCCCAAAGGGTGCAGTATTACTGCTGCAAATGCTAGACAAGAGCTCTGGCCTTGGCTGTGGCCAAGGACTTTGATACCACAGAAAGATAAAACAGCTGCTTTTCATAGTGAAAGGAAAACAGAAAGAGCCCCAAGGCTGATAGCGTGTCTGCCTGTCTCCAGCAAGAGGGGGAGCTCAGAGCAGCTCTCTGAAAGCGCAGCCAAGCTCTGATTTTGGAGGTGGATAGGAAGCAAGAAACGAGAAAAGTGGAGTAAGAATTCCTGCCAGCAATTAAATGGCAAAATGCTATTTAGTTTAGGCATAGTCCTAGTGAATGTTTCGCTTCTGTTTCCCATCAAAACAGTGAAAGTGAGTTACTGCACATCCTTGCTGCTGCTTGGAGGCAGGATTCACTTTCACCATTCTGTTGCCATCTTTTTGGAGGAGCCTTGGCTCTGCTAGGCAGTGCCAACCAGCTTCACATTGGAGAGGTGTGAGTTCTCTCTCTGGCCGCTTGTGATTTATATGGAAAAGGAGAAATGCTCCAGCCCCTCCTTAGGGAGGAGACACCAGAGGTTTGAGGGCTAACCCATCTTCTGGCACAGGCAGCAGACTTGGATTGCTATTTATATAAACTCTTTACTCCCTTGAAATGTGGCCTGTGTGGAACCTGGGCTACTGCAGTTCTTGTGCACTATGTTTCCATGGTGGTGCAACTCAGCATTTCCCCAAATGTGCTCTCTCATCAGATTGAGGAAGCAGTTGCTGTTCTCCAGGCACACCAGGCCACTGAGGCGTCTCACAAGGGCAGCACGGCCCCATTCCTGCACTGAGCCCTGGTAGGTGCAGAACTGCTGCATGAGCTGCTGCCTGCTCAGGGTCTGTGGCTGTGACTCTGAAGCCTGGGGGCTGGGTTTCTTGTCCAGACCAAGTGAAGCTTGATGAGCAATGTAGGGATGTGTGCAGTATTTCACTTTTTATGAGGTGATTCATCCTCCATGTTCCAGACTTAACTGTACTGCAAAGACACAATTCTGCACGTGGTGTTTTTTTGTGTGTGTGGTGCTTGTTACTTTTATTTTCTCACGTGTTTATGATAGTAAAAACTGTGCTATCAGAAGGGAAGACAGGAAAGGATCTTGCTTTTCTGTGTGTCCAGTGAAGGACTGGTGCAGCCTCCCTGGGATTTCTCCACTGTTGTTGCAGAACCTTGTGAGCAGATAAGCTTTTAAAATGTTGGAGCTGATTGTGGGACGGATTCGTTAGTAAGCAATTAGGACTCTCTCATACCTCTTTGAAGATAATGATTTCTTGACTTGTAATCACCAGGAAACTGTGTGTTAATCCAAGCTCAGAGCTGAGCTGTGAATTGTTCTCTGGATTAAATTGTTCTCTAGTGGTTGGAAATTCTGTGTGTGGGTTCTTTTGTGTTTCTTGTAGACTTCGTGACTTGGGAGTGAACCTTGAACGTTGCCTATGGAGAACAGCAGCAGCCACCTCACCTCACCTCGCTTTTGGAACTGTGCCCTCACACTGACCCTGGTTTGCCTTCAATGCCCCATCCTGCTTTTTGTGTGTACTGTGCATCTTGCAGAACCACTTCCTCCTTGCACTGCTGTAGAAGTTAATTCTCTTCTCTTCTGAAAGCATCTTGTGAAATGTAATGTGGAACTCAGTCTGACTCAGTTGCCCAGGAAATGACAAGTGCAGACGAATCGTCGCTTCAGTGAATGTACTGGGTTCTGTAGTTTTATTTGTTCCTGTAGCTGATGCTAATAAAGAACTGATGCTTCCACTTCTGAAGCATGAGTTAGCTTCCTTTGCAGAAAGGCAGCAAATACTCTGCCCTGGTTTGTGCTGGAGGGGAGAGACATATCAGCTAGGCTGCTGCAATTAGTGCTTGAAGCTTGTGATGTTGGCAGGGTGACAGGAAAAGCACCATGTAGGACTACATAGACTGCTGACCAGCAGCTCTCCTGATCCTTCCACTCTCTGGGAGGGTGTCTTTAAGCAAATTTGGCACTATCCACTTGGATTTTATCCTTTCTAGGTGGCCCTTCTAAATTTCCCTCTTTTAAGACACTGCTTCTTCCTGCAGCTCTTCTTTTATAATAGAGCTTGTATGCCTGCAGGAGTGCTGGGGCTGAGAACCTTCTGCCTGTCACTGTGCTGTATGTGGCTCTGTGGTGCACGAGACCCAGCTTAAGTTACTGTGGATCAAAAGCTGCTTCTCCCATGTATTTTCAGGCTGATGGGCTGAAAACACTGATAATTGCATGGGGGATGTTAAGACCTATTATTAATGTTGTCTGCTCTTAGTATCTCCTGGAGCATACTGCAGTTGCTATAGTCATTCATCCTCGCCCTATGCTCCACTCTGCATTCAAGAGTGGAATTTCTGTCTCCAGTGCTTCCTTAGAATTATACTTAGGATTGACAATCAATATACTGACCTTATTTGACTGCTTCCTTTAGCTCACAGGAGTACACCTCCATCAGCACAGCCCACCTTCTTTCTATCCATCTTGTGTGTTGGCACTGCTGTCTCATTCTTCCTTCTGTGCTGTATCACACTCTCCCCTCAACTCACTACTGATTCATCCCTCCTACCTCTTGTTTTCTTTCCAGCATTTTAATAGAAGCACTTACACATTTGCTCTTCCATGGCCACTGTTCTGCTCAGCTGGGACTCTTTCCTGGGGCTTTTTTTCTTTCCTGCTCTGAGCTCTTTAAATATTTTGTTTCTTCATAGAGGATGCCACAGCCTGAGCTGTGCACTACTGAGACAATTCCTTATCAGTGAGATGCTTACTTCCTCTTGGTTATTTTTCCCCAATGTGTAGCTGGCTGGAAGCTCTTATACTTTTTCTCTAGAGAGGAAAAGTGCATATTGCATATGAGAAATGTATATTAGGAGCTGGGATGGAATTGTACTGCTGAAATTCATTCTGTTGCCTAGTTTGAGTCTGAAGCAGTCCTTCAGGCATAGTATGCCACTTAGGATGTGCCTGTTGCATCACTGATAGCACTAGAAGTCATTTCAAGAAAAAAGCTAGCAGTAGTTCAGGATGAGCAGAATATGGAACAGCCAGAGAAAGGATATTAACAAAGACTGAAGTCCTTAAAATCTTTACATGAAAATGTAAACTTGCCACTTGAATACTCGTGAGTCCAAGAAAATGCTGGTGAGTTCTCAGAGTAGCTCCCTGGTTGAACTCCTCAGGGAGGTCTCAGGCTTCAGCAGGTTGAGGCAGGAGCAGCAATGCACATGTAAGTCTGGAGTCTAGTCTGGAATAGTCACTGTGGTATATGAAAGAGGTAGATGGAATGCCTCTGTGAGAAGCAATTTCCAGCTGCCCATGTGGGTTGCAACATCTTTGCCTGCCTGGAAAATGCTTTGTGCAGGCAGCAGCACGGTTGCTGGAACAAAAGAGGAGGAGAAGAGCAGAAGAGGCCTGGGCTTGAAGCATGGCATCATTTTGCTGTGTTTGATCTGTGTCTGCTTGGTGGTATTGCACTTTACTGGGGAAGGTCTTAGAGATAAGACAGCAAAAAGGCATTGCTCTGTTTAGAGGGGCGGAGTGGGGGGGGGTGAAAGAGGAGGGCAAGAGATAATGATTGCTGCTGTGTAGAAGCACTGTAATGAATTGTAGTTGGAACAGTGCAGGTGTCTGCCAGCCCTGATAACACAGGGATGTTAAAAGGAGAGCTCTTATTTAAGAGCAGGCTCTTATATAAGATTTTTCCTGTGTTCAGAAATGTTCCTCTGCTTATCTGTGTATGGCTGGCCTGTGCTTCACACCCTGAAATCCATCACGCTTACCTTGTAACAGCCTGGGGAAGGTGGGTGCAAGGTCAATGGAGTTACAGTATTTAGAGGACGGGGATTTTAAGGAACCAGAATTTGCTCCTGGGGGGAGGGGGTGTTGTTTCAAACTGTGGTGGTATTGCAGCTGATGGTGTATAACTCTGGGACCTATAAAGAGCTGCTTAATGTCAGGCCAAGGTAAGTCTTTATCTTACAGGAGTGTAACAGCATTAGTAATGTCTGCCTTCTAAATTCAGTTCAATGGGGCATCTGCCTGGAGTACCAACAGCTGGGATTGTTACTGTAAGCTAGTAGATCACATCTAGTGTTGTCCAGCATCGTGACAAAAAACTGGCAACAGAATGAAATAAAGCAGCATGAAAGTATCCCAGTTTCCCCATTTCCATCCCATACAAAACATACTCCAAGAGTGAAAATAAACATCATTTTAATGTGAACAGTTCCAAGAGATCATAGAATAACTCCAACTCATCTCTCAATAACTCCAACCGTTTCTTAATCTACCATTTTAACTCAGTGCCATCAATACCATAAGAAAAAATAAATCAAGAAGTATAAACATGCATGAAAGTAGTAAGCCAGCCCTCAATTGGGATGTCACACCCTGTAGCAACTGTTCCAGAAGGCACAGACAAACTCAACTTTTAACAGAACAAAAATTGACAAAAAAAGAAGCTGCAAAATGCCCAAGCACCTGTAACATGACAGTAGTGCACAGTGGATCAAGGCAGGTTGAAGTTTTCTTATATGTGCTGAATAATTAAAGATAAAAGAAAGAAAGCTGCTGCTGTAAACACCTGCCCAGTCACACTACGCAGCAGAAACTCAGCTGAAGGCCAGCAGGTGTCAGGTAGGAGAGGGAACGTGCTCAACCCTGTGCAAGTAACAATCACTTGGTTTTAAGAGTGATATGCAGTGCTCAGGCAACTGCAGCATTTCTTGCAGCACTCCTTTAGCAACCCTACTTAAGAGCAGCACAAATGCAGCAAAACTGTCACCTGAATAAGGACTAAAAAAACCTCTCAGTTTATAACTTCTCAGAAAGAGCAGCCACTTTGTGTGTATCTTGGCCAAGTGGATAAAGTCCCTGAGGCCAGCAGGTACAGGCACATTGACTTCAGCCAGGGAAGTTCACCTATGTGCCTCCCTCTCAGGCAATTGCATGAAAACTTTGCATGATCTTAGAGCCAGATACACAAACTGTATCAAACAACTATCTTAACGTTCATTGTGGTGGCACAGAAACGTGTCACATCTCAGCAGCAATTAAAGATAGATCTCAGTACCAATCCTGCATTCAGATTGGTCCCTGCAGCATCAGAAGGGAGAAACTTCCTTCTGCAGCAGAAAAAGCTTTCCTTGTTGCTTGGTTACCCTAGGCTCTGTTCAATTCTTGCAATAGTCTCAGTGCAGCTGTGTTCTTTGGTTCAATTTTCAACAAGCTGCTGATGTCAGCAATACTTGACTTGTAATCCTAGAAAAAGAATTTTTAAGTGTTAGTGCACTGAAAATGTAGTCTAAGTGTCCTGCAGGAGAATTACACCCAGCGACAGAGGCAAAGCAACACAACAGCCTGGGACTGGTTTTTGAGCTGCTTTTGAGCACCAGCATCAGTGTAGCTGTTCTCAAACGTGCTGAAAAGCATTAACAGGCTCCTACCTGAAAACTGGTCAAAAACTCCTGACTTACCTTCAGTTCTTTAAGTGCCTGAGCACGTCTATAGAACGCCTTCACGCTTTTAGGATCTAATCGCAAAGCTTCTGTGCAGTCCTGGACTGCTTCCTTGTGTTGCTTCAGAGTCAAGTAACAGAGAGCTCTGCAATACAGACACCTGGTTAGAAACCTTTGGGTAAAAGCAGCATTTACTGCTGCAATGCAGAGAACTAGCCACAGCACAAAGCTGGACTCCCAAACCAGGGCATATGCTAAGGAATCATTGATCAGAGCTCAATGCTTGTATAAATTAAGAAGGGCAAAAAGTAGCAAACAGTTTTTCAGTCTGCAGAAAAAAACCCAGCATTTTTACAGCAACAGCTCCTAGCTCTGCCACTCTGGAACATGCTCTGTTCATCTCAGAAGTGCTCTGAGTACAGCAGCGTGCAATTTGTGGTTGATGGGGCAGCAGACACAAATAACAAAATGACACAGTCTTGGCAGACAAGCATTAAAGGGAGGAAGCCCCTGGCAGTCCTAGGCTGAATGGCTCCAGGGCTTGTTGTAGAATCTGATCAAAGAACATTATACAAACTACAGGGAAGATTGTACTTGGGGGAAATGTGTGGGTGTTTTGTTGTTTGTTTTTTTTAAATTCAATTGTCTGGAAAAAACATCAGACAGCTGTGTCAGAAGTACCAAAGTGGCTTTTATAAAATGCCAAAAAGCACTTGGGCAATACCTGTTGGTGTAAGTTGCACATTCCTGGTTGAGCTTTAAACTCTCACTGTACTTTTCAATTGCCTTTTTATGGTTTCCTTTCTTTACGAGTTCATTTCCTTCTTCCTTAAGAGTTCGAGCTCTCTCTATGCCAGCAGCAGTCTGGGCTGGAAGCAGTGCAAAAAGATACAGAACATATAAAAGTGGTAAGATCAGACCAGTCTCTCAGAAGGCAAATAGCCCAATCCCAGAGGCAAGATGCAGATCAAAGGATCCAGAATGAGCAGCCAGCCCATGTTCCTGCAGCTCTCAGCCCCAGCTACAGACACCATGCAGGCATGGCAGCCTGCCTTGCTGTTTGCAGCCCCGCTGAGCTGAGGGGTTCTCACCTGGGTCTCCCCGTGGTGTGTTTCCAGAGAGAGCACCTCCTGTGGGGGCTCCTGCAGAAGGAACACTCCATCTCCTCTGGGCATCAATGGGGACCGTGGGGATGGGTGGGAGCTTCTCGCGCCAGTTCGCCCCGTGCTTCTCCAGCAGAGCTTTAGTCATCCTGGAAGAGATGGCTGGTGGTTGCACTGGTTGATAGCATAGGAGCTGGGGGGACTACTTTTTAACCTGGCTCACACTGAGGATCTCATCTCCTCACTAACAATTTTACATGCATCTCCACTACAGACGGGGTGTTAAGGAAAGGTGTGTCTTCCCATTAGCAGGGCCAAAAATACCACAAGACAATGGCTGGGACTGTTAATGCTCAGCTGGGCAGGGGATGTTTGTCACTCCTCAGCCTGGTGAGCAGTGAAGTGAATTGGACGCCTCCAAGAAGAGAAAATGACTCCAGCAGTCTGCAATCCCATCTGCATGGGGGGCACAATGCACAGGACACCAGAACTTGTAAATTACTTTTCTTTTATAATAAGTACTGGGCAAAGCAAGAAATCATTCCCAGGCCTCCATGATGTGCCAGCAGCCCGCAAGGAGCTGAGGGCGTCAGCACATGCAGGCAGCATGACCCAGCCTGCCCTCTGCACAAAGCATCAGAGCCTCAGCCATCTTGTTAATGTGCTCAGGACACAGCATGCTCCTGACACTGCTGCAGAAACAAAACAGAGCTCTGATTTATAGGCTCGGGCTTGAAGAGACCTTAAAGCTGATCCACTTCCAACCCCTGCCGTGGGCTGGCTGCCCAGGGCCCCATCCAACCTGGCTTTGGGCACCTCCAGGGATGCAGCACCCACAGCTCTCCGGGCAGCCTGGAGCAGCAAACCGGACCGCAGCACTCAGGCAGAAGGCAGGGCGCAGTCAGGGTTACCTGTTGACCCCATCGTGGGCCGCCTGTATGGTGCAGTCCACCTGCAGGGCGGTTTTGTAGTCCACGTAGGCCAGCGCAAAGCTCTCCAGGGCCTCATAGGCAGCCGCTCGCCTGAGCAGGGGCTTGATGGCAAACGGGGTCAGGCTGAGAGCGCTGTGATGGGGAGAGAGGAGGTGACAGCGGGCAGAGAGGCCTCAGGGAGCTCCCTACCGCCTGTAACTGGACGTGTCCTGCGAGCGCTGAGCGGCGCAGGTCTGTGCTCACACACAGCAGCGCCCAACGCTGCGAAACGGGCTGGGAGCCGCCGCCTCATTACCTACCGTAACGAACCAAAGGGGAAAGAAGGGAATTCTTTCCTCGGGGATGGAAACCGGAAGAGCTGCAGCTCTGGAGCTGCTCCCGAGACCTCAACGCCCATCAGCCCCAGAGCAGCGGTCTACTTTCCGCTGCAGAGGGGACCAGGAGGACTCGCTCACCTGCAGCAGTCGGCGACGCAGCCCCGGCAGGCGCCGTCCCGCAGCTGGCAGGCGGCGCGGTTGGCCAGCAGCACGCTGCGCTCCTCGGCGGCGGCTTCCCCTGCGCGGCACAAGCAGCGGTGAGGCGCGGCGAGCCCGGCCCCGCCCCGCCCCGCCCGGCCCCGCGGTACCTGCGTCCTCCAGCACCGCCAGCGCGCGGCTGTACAGCTCCGCGGCCGCCCCGTACTGCCCGCGGCGGAACTCATCGTTGCCGGCGCGGCGCAGATCGCCGGCGCTCTCCATCCCGGGCCGCGCGGCGCTGCGCGAGGGCGGCAACTTCCGGCGGCGGGCGGAAACGGCGCGGGGCCGCGATGGAGGAGTGAGGGCGGCGGGCGCGGGCAGGGAGCGGCCGTCCGCGGCGCTATGGAGACGGTGCAGCTGCGGAACCCGCGGCGGTGAGGACGGGGCGGGGGAGCCGGGACGGGGCTGGGGCTGGGGCTGGGGCTGAGGGCGGCGGCGCGGGGCTCCGGGCGGGCAGAGGTAGCGGGGCCGGCGGTGTCGTCCGGCGCTGTGCTCGGGCTGCGTGCGGGCTGGGAACGGCGGGGAGCGGCGCGGCACAACGCGGCACAACACAACACGGCACAACACGGCACGGCACAACGTGGCACGGCACGGCTCAGCACGGCACGGGCGGCGGTAGCGCTGCGGGAAGCGGCTGCCTCCTTCGCTCGGCGTTTCGCCACTTCCTGACTCGCCGGCACGTTTCCTCCGCTGTAGGAAGCCATTGTGCGCCGGGGCTGCGCCGAGCTTCTGCACGGAGATAAAAAGGGGAGAAAAGTGCGTATTTAGTGACGAACGTAGCGAGTCAGTGCGGAGCGGCGGTGTTTACTGGCTCTACAGTGGTCTGTTTTAGTGTATGCGTACGGCGTGTCCTTGTAACATTTTTCTTAGCGTCACAGAACGGCTTGGGTCGGACGGGACATCAGCGATCATCGCGTTCCGACCCCCCGCCGCAGCAGCCTGTGCTCCATCGGGCTGCCCAGGGCCCCGCCGGCCCGGCCTTGAACAGCCCTAGGGATGGGGCAGCCCGTTCTGGCGCCTGACACCTGGGCTAAATCTTCCCTCCCTTCATTTCAAACCACCCCCCCTTATCCTGTCGCTATTCACCCGTGTAAAAAAGTTGTTTTCCATTCTGTTTATAATCTCCCTTTAGCTGCATTGAGGTCTCCCTGCAGCTTTCTGTTCTCCGGGCAGAACCAGCCCAGCTCCTCCAACATGTCTTCATAGGATAGATGGTGCCTTTTATAAATACACAGCGCTCAGCTGCCATAGGAAGTTTCTTGGTGAACAGCTGTCGGCATGGCAGAGTGAACTGAAACAAATGTAGTTGGTTGCCATGTTGTTTTGTGTGTGGGATCTCCATAAAGTTGTACTGGGGATTGGGTTGATAAGTGGGGGCTCACAGTACAACTCCATCTGGCTCTTCCTCTTTTGTGCAGTATCTGTCCAGGCACAAAACCAGTGTCTGAACTGAACTAATGTCATTAAAGTTGTACGAGTGAGATCAGTGCAGTACTGCCTCCTTCCTCCCAGCAAACATCTTACAGTATGTATGGAACGCATCAGAGAAGGCTGCCTTCCTGTCTGCGTGCCCTGCGTGCCCTTAATGTAATGTACTTTCCAGACAGGACTGTATGGTCAGTAGCTGCAAGAGGCTGCTGTGCTGTGTTGGGGTTTGGCCACCAGCCTACAGATCCCTCAGTGCATTCTGCAAAGAAGGACTGTAGATGTGTGTCTGTGATCAAATCCTGTGCTCTGTAATTTTCAATCTTCTTCTGCTGTTAGATAACGCTAATGTTTGGTCTTCTGATGATGAGAAATAAACTTATTTGATAAGCAACCTATTTTATACTGAGCCTTTTGTAAGTTTAAATGGCATTTTTAAATTTTTCTGTTTCAACAGAGCCCAAACTGCCATAAAATTAAGTGAAATTTCTCTATTTTTACATGCGCAGGCAGCTGAAGAAGTTAGATGAAGACAGCTTAACCAAACAGCCTGAAGAAGTATTTGATGTATTGGAGAAGCTTGGAGAAGGGTATGTGCTATGTGACAACGTGCCTTAAGTACATTTATCAAAGAACAGATGTGTGTAACCAATATGTGCTCAATGGGCTTTGATTTTTCACTTTTGATGATCCTATTACTGTAGAAGTATTTGGTAGTGTAGCAGCTGCAGTGACTCGAGGCATTGTAGTTCATCCCCAGTACCTCTGTAGGAGGTCTGTGTGATGGGAAGCAGCTTCTGTTTCCTAGGGTCGCTTGTGTTGGGAACACTAAATAGCATGTTTGCCATCTTAAGCACTTCATTTATAAAACAGAGTGGGAATTCTTCCTAGCTGCTGTAAGAAGGTGGAAATAAAGTAAACAGTGTCTGATGAGTGAGCAAAGCTTTCTGACCTGAGCTGTGGTTTTTACTGTTGCTCAGCAGTACCATATGCCAGAGAAGGAGAGAATTGGTTTTATTGGATTCTTCCAAAGCTGTGGGCATGTAATGGTGGTTGGCTGCTTTCTGACCATCTCAGCATGCTGCTGGTTGTTACAGTGTATGCAGGCTGTGGGTTGATTATGTAAATAAATTGAAAAATTATCTTAGCAGGAGGGTGATCTGCTTTTTCCTCTCAAGTCTGCAACTGCAATTATTATGCTTTTTGTGTTTTAAAAATATTACTGTGTTCATTGTTTGTTTAATATTTTGTTCTGCAGTTCCTATGGCAGTGTGTTCAAAGCTATTCATAAGGAGACGGGTCAGGTTGTTGCAATCAAACAGGTTCCTGTGGAGTCTGACCTGCAAGAGATTATAAAGGAAATATCTATAATGCAGCAGTGTGACAGGTAAATGTATTCTGCCAAACCCATCATCAGTATGCAAAGAAAGTATTGACTGTGATCTGGCATGTAGTCACATAAAAGCGATGATGTTGCCTTCAATGTTTTTTGAAAGGCTGGACTTGTACAGTCAAGTTACCCCGTATCAACTGAGTCATGTTTGGGTAGTGTTAACCCAAGTGAAGGTAAGACAACAACAATTTAGCTTGCAATGTGAGAGCATTAAGCTAACTAAGTGAAATAACCTTGCACTTGCTGCCAGCACAGAGCAAAGCGTGTGAGCAGCTCCTGCAGTGCTCCTGATGCACCGTAACTTCTGGACAGCAATGATGAGGTTGTGTGTTAGACCAGATCCCCTGTGCAGAGGGGCAGTGAATTGCACACCAGCTTTGGGATATGAAAATGCTAGGAGAGAGATTTTTGGTTTATTTTGTTTTTAAGGGGCATGTGGATGAGAGCTGCTAATGCATGACTGCTCTTGCATGTGCGCAGTGTACGTGCTGTCATCTGCTTTAGGTGGCAGAATTGTACTTACAGTGCAGGTTGCAGTGCGTGACAAGCTGTCTGCTGATGTTAGCATGCTGAGAATAACTTATGGGCTGATGTTTGGTTCTCTCGTTGTCTGCATGTTTTTTTATGGGAAAAGTCATTATATGAACTCAGCTGCACAAGGACAAGGGCTGCAGAAGATCTTTTCTCAGTGACTGAAGCTTAAAACATACACATTTCTTTCTAGGGTTTGAATCCAGCCTCAAGAGATGCTATTTTGAGGGAGTTTAGGCATAGAAAACCATTTAAAATAAATGACATTAGCAATATAAAACTATGTTCCTAGTCATTCACTCTATTGCTCTTCACTCTCACTGTCGTTAAGTGAAGATAATTGGTGGCAGCTAAGAAAATGAAACTTCTGAAAAATTTATTCTTGTAAAGTCTTACTGTGTGAATCAACAGAGCATCAGATTTTCTTCTCCAACATTAAAGAATACACTGGGGTGGGACTGGCTTCTCAGTTTTGCTAATCTTGAACTTCTTCATTAGAAAACATTTGGCAGAGCTTAGGTTAAGTGCACTTCTGTTCTTTAGCTTTGTCCTCACTAAATCAGAAGGGTTCTCTCTGTTTGCTTTTTTGCTTTACCTTCCTGAAGGATAAGTGGTCATTCTGACTGTGCTATACTTCATTGTTCAACCTCTGGGCAGTCCAGTAGTTGACTATATGGGAAAGATTTAGATTGTACTTAATTCCTAAAATAAGTTGCATTTCTGGACTGAATAATAGAAATAAGAAGGTGAACATTCCTCATAATCACCACAGTAGCTATTTTCCAGCTTTTGACCTTATTTAATCTTTCTGCTTGGTTTCAGACACTCTGCAGCAGCTTTACCAGGATCTACCAAGGTCCGTTTTTCATTCCATTGATGCCCTGCCTACTTGACTGCCACAGTGTAGGGACCAAAACCAGACTGAAAGCTAATCTCTCCCTGTTTCTGCAGGATTTACTTGCAGACATTTTAGCTCCCTGAACTCCCTTTGTGACAGGTCACATGGACACCACTGCTAGGACAGGCTTGCAGGACTGTGGTTGCTCATTGCAGACTCAGGCTGGTGTGAAACACTTGGTCAGGGCTTCAGTGGCACTTCCATGTCTGAATTTTTAGAACCTGCATAGGGAGGCTGCAGTGTTGTTTGCCTTTGCTTATTCAGTTGTGCTGGTCTCCAGTATTTGACCCTTTGTTCTCCTTTTTTCACGTTTCATAGCCCTCATGTGGTGAAATATTACGGCAGCTACTTTAAGAACACAGACCTGTGGATCGTCATGGAATACTGCGGCGCCGGATCCGTGTCTGATATTATTCGGTTACGAAATAAAACTGTACGTACTCTTTCTTCTGAACACTATAAATGGGAAACAGGAGTGGTAGCTCAGGAAGCTGAGCAGCACGTGCAGTGCTTTCAGTGTAATTCTCATGACGTGTTCAGTGTCTGAAGCGACCATGGGCTACCACTGCCATGTGGGTCCTTTGTTCATCTGAAAATAAGGAGGCTGGTTATGTTGACCAAGTTTGGGTTGTTTGGCTAATGCAATGAGTTTGCATGGTTTTGGTAAGGTGTTTGGTTGGCATTCTTGAAAACCCAGGCAGATTCTGAATGACAGACTGCTTTGCCTTGCTTTTGGCTTTGCAGGGTAAGAATTATTACTAGGTGTGAAAGGCTGTGGTGCGGATGTTTAAGTATGCTGGTCGAAAGGTAATTCTCATATGTAATGCTGAAGGTTGCTACCTAGAAGTATATGTACTCCTCTATTATAGCTAGTATGGCAACTTTTAATAAAGGCAATTAAATAACAGTCTGTAAATCTCACGGAGGTATAAACTGGAATACCACTGTGTTCCATCTCAGAAACCAAGGGGTTGACAGTAACGCTGCT